GCTTCAGCTTCAGCATCAGTCCTTCCAATGAACACTCAGGACTGATTTCCTTTAGGATGGACTGGTTGGATCTCATTGCTGTCCAATGGACTCTCAAGAGTCTTCTCTAACACCACAGTTCAAAAGCATCCATTCTTCAGCACTCAACTTTCTTTATGGTACAACTCTCACATGCATATATGACTACTGGAAAAACCATAGCCTTGACTAGATGGACATTTTTTGGCAAAGTAATGTCTCTGCTTTTTAATATGCTATCTAAGTTGGTCACAGCTTTTCTTCTAAGGAGCAAGCGTCTTTTAATTTCATGGCTTCAGTTACCATCTGCTGTGATTTTGGAGCCTAAGAAAATAAAGTCTTTCCATGTTTCTATTGTTTCCCCATCTATTCACCATGAAGTGATGGGACCAGAGGACATGATCTTTGATTTTTGAATATTGAGTTTTAAGCCCGCTTTTTCACTTTCCTTTTTCACTTTCATCAAGAGGCTCTTTAGTTCTTCTTCACTTTCTGCCATATAGGTGGTGTCATCTGCATATCTGAGGNTAGTGATGCTTTCTAAGGCCCACTTGACTTCACATTCCAGGATGTCTGGCTCTAGGTGAGTGATCACACCGTTGTGGATATCTGGGTTATTAAGATTATTTTTGGATAGTTCTTCTGTGTATGCTTGCCACCTCTTCTTAGTATCATCTGCTTCTCTTAGGTCCATACCATTTCTGTCCTTTATTGAGCCCATCTTTGCATGAAATGCTCCCTTGGTATCTCTAATTTTCATGAAGTGATCTCTAGTCTTTCCCATCCTATTGTTTTACTCTATTTCTTTGCACTGATCACTGAAGAAGGCTTTCTAATCTCTCCTTGTTATTCTTTGGAACTCTGCATTCAGATGGGTTTATCTTTCCTTTTCTCCTTTACCTTTAGCTTCTCTTCTTTTCTCAGCTATTTGTAAGGCCTCCTCAGACAGTCATTTTGCCTTTTTGCATTTCTTTTTCTTGGGGAAGGTCTTCATCACTGCTTCCTGTACCATGTCATGAACCTTCATCCATAGTTCTTCAGGCACTCTGTCTATCAGATCTAATCCCTTGAATCTATTTGTCACTTCCACTGTATAATCATAAGGGATTTAGTTTAGGTCTTACATGAATGGTCTAGTGGTTTTCCCTACTTTGTTTAAGTCTGAATTTGAAAAAAACACTCTGAGTGTAAAGTTGCTTCTGTAGACCAATTTGTTCAGAAGTTCACTTGTTAATTTTGAGACTTTTGCCATTAGGACTCTATAATAACAATTCTCTGATAAGAATTTTTTATTTTAAAAAGATCTACTAAACTAATTTTTTTTCTTCTGTCTCATTTTCTGTCATTCTTTTTTTCTCCATTTTCACAATTCATCTGGGGTCTCTGGTCTTTGAGTCACTTCTGATCTTCTACTTTTTGTGTAATGAAAGTTCTGATTTTTACTTCCCGTTTATAGAAATGAGTGATTCTGTATCAGCAATCCCAATCCCTTCTCTGAGTCCTCTCCTAAGGTCACACCCTCTTTAACATTCATATCCACTAAACGTATGGACAGACCACAGCAGTTAAAAAAATGCGGATTCATGTCAATGTATGGCAAAAACCACGACAATATTGTAAAGTAATTAGGCTTCAACTAATAAAAATAATTGGGGAAAATAAAATAAAATAAAGACGACAAGAAAAAATAATATTTCTCTAAACGGCTGTTGGAAGTTCACTTCTAAGATGAAATATAGTAAAATCTTGCCATTGGTGAAAGTTTTGGAAACAGAGAACAAGGGACCATTGTCTGCTATTAACTCCATAGGCCTATAGAGACTTAATTATCAGTGTAGCTACGTGGAATGTCACACCTGATATAAAATGCCAATGTAACTAAACAGTGCTTGGGGCAGTGGGGGAATTTGTTGAGGCTATGTTGTACCATGAGCTTTGCAGTCAGAAAACCCAGCTTGAGTTTCTGGCCCTGTGACTTGTTATGTGATGTCTATGAGTCTCAGGATTCTCTTCTAGAAAATAGGGATACTTACATATATCTCAGGCATTAGTTTTAATGCCTCTCAATCCTCCCATGAGAGGAAATTAAGAGCATATATGTAAATACATTAGTGTTTCTATGTTTCTTTGCTTCCTCATTAGCCACGATTTGAGAAGCAAGATTTGTCTTTGCAACTTATCTCCATCCTGGGCTGTCTGTTTACATTTTGGGAAACAAACAACACTTTGAGTTAGGTTTTTCTTTTCTTTCTTTCTTCTTCTTCTTCTTTTTTTTTAAGGGCAAAAGGCACTCAGGTGCAGAGAGTAGAGTTAATCATCTCCCTCAATCCCTTGGACATCATTGTCATCGGTCCATGCTAGTGTCTTACCACTGTATTTGTTTATTTCATTTTTATGTCTATTTATACCCTGCTACTCTTGCTTCTCATAGGTGAACCTTTCATGGTGTTGATGTGCATCCTTTTATTTGTATATGTTCTCACAAAACAAGTATTATTGATTTGTGTGCAGTTCTAATTTACATAAATTATGTTGTGTTACAGATCTCATTTTCTTCTTTTATACTCAATACATTGTTTTTAAAGTTCTATCCAAGTTGTGTGTTTATGTATCTACATTTTATTGCATTGTAGACCTATGCTGTATTTTGCCTCTCTCTTCCTCAGTTATGGGCATCTGAATTACCTCCAATTCTATTGGGTTGGCAGAAACTGAGAAACTGGACATTACCAAGTGATAGGGATACAGAATCCTCATGCACTACTGGTAGGAGGATAGATGTGCATGTATAAGAAAATAACTGTGATTAATTGGTGATGGAAATCACAAATAACTACTGACACTACTGTGGTTTGGATATTCATCACTGAAGGACATGTCCTGAACTCCAGGTTAAGAATCCTTGGTTTAAGGAAAGAAAATTGTCTGAGCTTTGGTCATTACTGACTTCTCCTGCCAACACCCACTTGCAGTCAGACCACTGGATGTCTGCTTGGGTCAGGATCACAGTTTTAACTTCTGAAAAAGAGTCAGCATTGGAATACACATCCTCTCTATAACCCTGGAAGCCTGAAGGTGGAGAAACACAAGCTCAAGGGACAACGGCTGCCAGCATCTATTTCATCAATAAGCCACCCCAGCAGGGCATTTGTCTTGCTCTGCTGTTATCTATGGACTCCAGTGGTCAACTTTTGAGACTAAGGTGCAGCCAAAGAGACCTCCATTGAGAGTATGTGTGTGGGTGAGCATTTACTGAAGAAGCAAGAGCAGAACCGAACACTCCTTGAACTCACCCCTCTCTGCTCACTCTCTCCACCCTCCACTCCAGACCTCAGCATAGCCCCTCTGGTCTTGTCTCTATCAGATCTCCCCCAGCTCACAAGAATCTTCAAATTCCCCCAGAGTTTCTGGCAGTTTATTTGTTCTTCCTTTAGAACCATAATCCTCTCTTACTCCAGTAGTTTCCCTGGGGTTTATCCTGAAGGGAAGCAATCCATAGTTTTTGCTAGTTGGTCCTCTTGAAAGGAATATATCAGCTTCACTATCTGAAAAACATTTTCCAGTAGTCATGTACAGATGTGAAAGTTGGACCATAAAGAAAGCTGAGTGCCATAGAATTGATGCTTTTGAACTGTGGTGTTGGAGAAGACTCTTGAGAGTCCTTTGGACTGCAATGAGATCCAACCAGTCCATCCTAAAGGAAGTCAATCCTGAATATTCATTGGAAAGACTGATGATGAAGCTGAGGCTCCAATACTTTGGCCACCTGATGGAAAGAAATGACTCATTGAAAAAGACCCTTCTGCTGGGAAAGATTGAAGGGAGGAGGTAAGGGGGCAATAGAAGGTAAAAGGTTAGATGGCATCACGGACTCAGTGGACACGACTCTGAGCAAACTCTGGGAGATAGTGAAGGACAGGGAAGCTTGGCGTGTCCACAGGGTCACAAAGAGTTGGACATGACTTAGCAATTGAACAACGATGATCTGAAAAATAGCAATTTAATATATAGTCTTTATGGGATAGTCTTGAGAATGAAATGAGGCAAAGAAACATACTTGGTACAACTGCTGGCCTAGTAGGTATGCATCCTCTCTGCCCTAGTTTTTGAACATGTGGCATGTCGACAGCAGTCTGGTATGTGCCCATGTCCACCACCCGAAACCTGGCACATAGCAGAGGTTCTTCCCTCTGACACAGGGGCTCTCAGCCTCAGCCACGTAATAGAATCTCCAAGGAAGATCCATACATATGGGCCCACCCTGGTGCGGTTACACCGGAATCTCTGCAGGAGGGATCAGAGCAATTGCCCTTTTAAAAATTTCTCATGTGATTTCAATGTGCAGTCAAAATAGAGAATCTCTGAATGAGGTTCTTGACTTGAAAATGACTTCTGTTCCTTTATACCTGAGTAACTCTGGGTCATCAACAAACAGAATGAAATTCCTGGGTGAAATGCTCATTTTCTACATAAAGTAGCCAAGCTGGATGTCTTGTGTGCATGCCCTCACACAGATACACACGGTATGTGTGCTGAGCCGACTGTTTGAAGCACTTGAGGGTGAGACAGATCTGAGGAGGAAGAGGAGAGAAGATGACATTTCTAGACGGCAGAGCATCTTTCCATTATTCTTCATAGAGAATAAGAAGATATATCCCCATGAATATTAAAATCCTAAATTTAGAGAACCGAATCCTTTGCAAAAGGGTTTGCTCACTTGAACTTAATAGAAACAAAACAGTAATATTCCCTGAGATGACCACATCATCTGTTAATATAAAGTTTTTCTCTGTAGGGCTGGATCTACGGGAGATTTGTCCAAGTGAAACATGTGGTTCTGGGTTATGTGACTCATCAGTAGCTCTTCTGGCTCTCTGCTATTTGCAATAAACCAGATTTAGAGCATCTCATCTCGAGTTATTATAAACCCTAGTGTTTTAAAGTTGCCTGCCAATTCAGAGTTATATCTGTCCGTTCTTTCCAGGGAGTAAGGCATGGGATGGGGAGGAAGACTTGGCACCCAGGGCCCTTCCTCGCAAAGAGAGAGCGCAGATGGCCCTGACAGCTGGGGACGAGGAACCGCAAGCCATGGAAGAGATTGCTGCTGAAGACAGATTATCAATTTTCCCTGGAAAATATTGCCTGAGCGAGAAGTAGTGGAAGTTTAGGCAACTCTACTACGTGAAAAATACACACAGAACTTCACAGCCAGCGTCTCAAGGTGACACTTTGAAACCTAAAATGACCGCGGTGATCCAGTGGAGGCGGGGGATTCTGCGCTCACTAGTGTGATTCTCCTGTCATTTGCTTTCTCAGTTCTAACAATGTCTTCCGATTGCCACTCACTGAAATTTACCCAGCAGCTGCGAGCAGATTGCGAGGGCGAGAATGCAGAAAAGAAGAGAACCTGGAAGGATGACAATTATACGTATGGCCGCCCCGAAGAAAACATCTGAGGACGCCTGTCTGCAGCATCAAAATTAAAATCACAGGAACCCATCTGCCAGTGCCTCTGACTCAGGGTTCAGGTGGGAACTGACCCCTTTTCTTTTTTTTCTTCCCCAGCCCCAGTCAGATTTATCTCCCCTCTTGTTTTCTCCAGGTCTACTCTGCCAAGTGACAGTAAGTTTGACAAATGACTCCTTACCCATAGATTGAGTGTTAATGCAGTCATTAAAAAGTAATAGCAAGCATTCATTGAATGCTTTCTATATGTCAGGAAATGTATTAAAAGCGTTCACATGTATTACTTCCAACCAACTTAACATTTTCATTTTGAAAGCTAGCTAATGATTTAACCCAATAAAATGGCCCAAATGTCAGAACTCTAGGCTCCCAGCAGGGGAGAGAGGGTGTATTTATTGGCTATAGAACATGGAGATTCTCAAATCACATCTGGTGGTCTATCATCCATTTTATCCTTGGAAAGGTGTTTATTAGAAAGCATATAAAATATGAGTCAGAAAAGCTAAATTAGAGATGAGTATCTTTTATAGACAGTGATATTTATCCATCACTGAAATTCTCTGACCTTTAGTTTCCTTATCAATAAAAGCAATATAATCAATAAGACCTTTATGGGTGATGGTGGAGACTAGATCTCACTATCAGTTTGTAATTTATGTGTGTGTACTTAGGCCCTTAGTCATGTCTGACTCTTTGTGACCCCATGAACTGTAGCCCAACATGCTTCTCTGTCAGTGGGATTCTCCAGGCAAGAATACTGGTGTGGGTTGCCATTCCCTTCTCCAGGGGATCCCCCCAACCCAGGAGAACCTTTGTCTCCTGCATTGCAGGCTGATTCTTTGCCAAATGAGCCAGCAGAGAAGTCTATTTGTAATTTAAAATTATATATATATATATATATATATATTTTAGTTATACTGTTGTTTGTTACTAATAAGTCTCCTGTACATTTTTCAAACCAGAATCACCAAGGTCACTTTGGGATTCCCATGGATATTTTTTCAATACAATATTTGGAAGTCTTTAATCCTTTAAGAACTTCATTCTAATTTAAGACAAACTTAAGACAATATTTGCCATGCTTATTATGGATTAAAATCTAGTTGATGAACAGATGATAATCACCTTAAGGAGGACTATTTTCAGTGAAGTGCTACTGTATCGTGTGGACAACTTTAATTTCTTACTCAATATGTGTATGTTTCTAGGTTGTGTGAGTGTCTGACAGTAAAAGTTTAGATATATGAGTATAATAATTTCTATTTAAGCTCAAAATCATCTCAGCTAGTAGCTGCCAAATTATAAACGGTGCTATTATTACAAAAGTGCTTCTCAGGGGGCCTTAGTGGTAAAGAACCTGTCTGCCAATGCAGAAGATGTAAGAGACGCCGGTTCAATTCCTGGGTTGGGAAGACTTCCTGGAGGAGGGCATGGCAACCCAGTCCAATATTCTTGCCTGGAGACTCCCATAGAGAGAAGAGCCTGGTGGGCTATGGTCCATGGGGTCGCAAAGAGTGGGAGATGGATGAAGAGACAGCATGCATGCTTGCATTGTTACATAAGCACTGTTGAAAGGCCTGGGTAAAATTATTAATATTTTCTGTAGCAGAACTCACACATTTTTTTCTGGTTTGGCAAAAAAGTAGAGAGCAATAGTTTGGGAAATTTGATTCATTTGGGAAATGGATAAAAATGAAGCAGGGATGTTTCTGTTCAATTTCAGGATGTTTTGCTCATCTGGTTTGGAACTTTTGCTCATTAGTCTGATAGGTCCATGTTAAAAGAAATGAATACTGCTTTGGATAAGCTGTGATGGTCATATATATAATATGAGAAGTAGGCAATGTTTTCCACTAGCTTCTTAGTAATGATAGTAAGAGAGATCCAGATTATTTGTGTATTGGCATTGAAAGTATTCTAAATATGACTAAAGTCATATGCAAGCCTTAGTTTTGACAACTGTTTCCCACTCCATTCCTCATGCTATGAATTCTGCATCAGAAAAAGTAGCTTGCTGCGCTTCCTTTTCTGGAGGATGAGTGAACATCTGTACTGGTTCTGGCTGTGTTTTACTTCCCATTTCATCCCTAGTCTCTTGCTCAGAAACCTGCACCAAAACATTCAGAATGATCTGCGGCTCTGACATCACAGCTCCTCTTGTCTCCATTTTTACCTGCGAAAATGCTACCCGAATTTCAAGGTTCTTCAAATTAACCTTTCTTTCATTTTCTCTTTCTTTCTTCCTCTTTCTTTGTTTATTTCCTTCCTTTTCTTTCTTTCTATTTTTTAGATCCAGGCTTCATCTTTCCAAATGCTTGTTTTAAGAAAAGTGTTTTCTATTTTCATGATAGTTATTGAGGATATTAAAATGCTTAATAGCTTATAACTTTTTTTGAGGATAGAAATAGTAACACATACTGGCATGGTTCCCAAATCACATTCCGTTGCACTCTGGGGCCTCACAGTGAATTTACCAGGGTGCTGCTGGGTGTTTTAAAGTTTTCAGGGAAACACTGACAGCTGACATCTGTTGGTCACTGCCTGAACTACAATCTTGAGGTAGTTGGTAATTTCAATATTGGATCACTTTATGTTCCTTTTCATGATCAGCAAAGCTGTTTTGCTTTGATTTTTAAAAATGCAAAAAATGAATGTGAGGCAATAAATGAGGACAGTCAAGTCCAATCTGACACCAATATTTGAGAATTTGTGCTGTGTTCAATAGGCCTATGCATCCTGTTAGTAAATACAAATAAAGTAAAATATTTGTATAGTTTCTCAATTTTAGCGCATTATTTTCAAAAGGCTAGTAACTTGTTATGATAGAATAGTTAATAAGTTAGTGGAGCCTAATTACTTAATAAATGAAATGATAAATGTTTATTTTTGCTAAGTGAGTTCTGTGAAAAAAAGTATTGAGACAGTGAGGGTGCTGTGAATCAAGAAGGTCCGGGACCCTTTGTTACATTGCATGACATTTGTCTTCTCTGCAAACACCTAGAGTGCTCTGCTGCTGCTGCTGAGTCGCCTCAGTCGTGTCCGACTCTGTGCGACCCCGTAGACGGCAGCCCACCAGGCTGCCCCGTCCCTGGGGTTCTCCAGGCAATGACACTGGAGTGGGTCGCCATTTCCTTCTCCAGTGCATGAAAGTGAAAAGCGAAAGTGAAGTCGCTCAGTCGTGTCCGACTCGTAGCGGCCCCATGGACCGCAGCCCACCAGGCTCCCCCATCCCTGGGATTCTCCAGGCAAGAGGACTGGAGTGGGTCCCATCGCCTTCTCCACTAGAATGCTCTATTCAGTGTATATTCAATCAATACTTTTTTATTTGAAAGAACTTATGCTCATGGTATAGCAGTGAGTTTACTTAGAATTTGCTTCTCTTTCACATAAATAAAATATTTGAAAGATTTCAAAATGAAAAAAAAAACAGCAAACATCAGATATTTACGCATCCATGGTGCTATGCTAGGTACACTGTTTATGAGATGCAAGTATATTGCCTTATATAGTCCGCATGATATATGACAATCTTAAATTATCTTTTCATATCACTTCTCTTATATATCCAGACTCTTCAACGTCTGACAAGGTGAAGGGGGAAAAAAAGGTATTTGACCTAGCATCCGACTTATGGGCTATAAAAAATTTCATTAACGAAGGTGGAGACAACGTCACCCTGAGCATGGACAGTCAGTATCAGTCAACAAGGGCCATGCAATAAAGCTCTACAGGTTTGGTTTTAAAAGAATCCTGAGAAGCTTGCCTCTGCGGAATGGTATTGATTGCCCTTTACCATCAGATGCTGGGTAAATTACACAAAATGCTCACACACACTATTACACGAGATAGGGAGCAAATTGACAGATCAGCACCAAGCAATTTCTTACACTGCGCAGAAATTCTTTCCAAAAGGTTTTGTGCATGCAGAGTAAATCGAATATACAGGGGCATAGGGATTTCTTAGTCTCTGAGATGGGCAGTATCACGGGAGATTAGATGGAATAGCCGAGATGAGTGAATATTGTTATGGACAGATGGGTAGGAAGGGGTAGAGAGGTTCCTGGAAGGGGACGAGAGAAACGGAAATCACACTTCGCAGATTTTACAGTTTCGCATCAGGCTAGCCTGGAGCTACCAGGCAGTTTGACTGTCATTTAAAATCTGAATCCTTAGTTTATTTAAGAGAATGTGAACCTTAAAATGTCTCTTCACTTTCATTTGCAATAGGGCAAGTGAGGGTTTTTCTCACACATAACTTCTTAAGGTCAACCAAGATTAATAACTTTGTAGAAATTTAATAATTTTTGTTGTTGTTCAAAGAAATCTGTTGCCCATATGTCATTTTCTTTATCATTTGTGTTTTTAGTGAATTGTGAAATTATAGTCAAGGAAGGGAAGGGGAAATAGGGAGATGTTGCCTCTCTTAGAAAAATGACTTGAGAGGAAATGTGATGTTTTGATTATGTTTGCATCAATTCATTTCAAAGTTGGAAACTCTGAGGTGCTTAATTGATCATTTCTTAATAACCCAAATAAGGCTGTTAATCAGTATTTACATTTAGGAGCTATAGCCAGTCAACAATGGGCTTAGTTTTTAAGAAAAATTATCTAAAATTTGAAAATAAAGCCAAAAGCATGATTCGATACCTTTTCAATGTTATTTCAGGATTTTGTAAATAGACTCACATGCACTTTACTCAATTATCTAGCAGAATGCATATTTGTTTGACTTAGCTATTCACTATTTGGTCCAGACATCAAGAAGTTACATGTTAACATGAAGATATCTTCCAATAAGAGAGATAATCTCAAAGTGTGCAGTTTTATTGCTCTGTAGAGCATCAAATGCTTTTGTATCTATTACCAAATAAATTCCAGTATTCCTTTGATTGACTCACAGTATGCATCATCATTCTTAACAGGCTTTGAACTACCTTTATCATCTTACTGACTTTCTTGTTGGTTAATGAGTTGAATAAAACATTAGGTACATGGTTATTCTATGTTTGCATGAGAGTCATGTTTTAATCTTTGTTGAAAATTACATTGGGGTACTAATCAGATGGATAATCTTTGCTACATTCTCTGATCCACCTCTTTAAAGCAATCAGATCTCACACTATTAACTGCTTAGAATTCCAGACAGGCTTAAACTATAATTTGGATGAGGAAGAAGCACTCATTAGAAAAACTGCCTAGGCAATTCAAGCTATTCATGTGTGTTGGCCATATGTTTTCTGGCCAGAAATGATGCCTTTTAACTGGAGTATATGTTGTATCCCTAAAGCAGGCATCACAGTATCTTGGCAACTCAACGAAGCATATTTGGGGGATGCAAGTGGTAGAGAATGAAACTGATAATTCTAGTGCTTACCACATGTGAAGCAGTTGTTATTCATGCTCTAATTTAGCTTTTTAAATAGTTCCACAGAGTAAGATTATTGTCCCTACTGTGGAGTTGCTCAGTCATATCTGACTCTTTGTGACCCCATGGACTGTAGCCTACCAGGCTCCTTCGTCCATGGGATTTTCCAGGCAATAGTACTAGAGTGGGCTGCCATTTCCTTCTCCAGGGGATCTTCCCAACCCAGGGATCGAACCCAGGCCTCCCACATTGTAGACAGATGCTTTACTGTCTCAGCCACCAGGGAAGTCATTATTGCCTCTACTGTACAGACGGGAAAACTAAATTCAAAGAGGAAAACTTATTTGGCCAAACTACGTGACATGGGTTAAACCCAGGTTGACCTGACTCCCCACTCACAGATTTTCTACTACTATGAAACCAAACCTGAGGGTTATTTCCATAGTTAGCTAGGAACTATCAATTAATGAGAATATTCCCTAACTCATTAAAACCAACACATTTTTTCTTTAGAGAGTGACCAAAAATTTTGGTCAGGTACTTACAATGATATTCTGAGTACTGTGCCACCAACAGTTTGCAGAGTTTATAATACATAGAACCAGACTGGACAAAGGAAGCAAGTGAAAGAAAATGTATTGTAGAATGATTTTAAGGTGAGAGCTTATTATCATAATATATTTTATAGTATATTCCAGCTTTCTAATATCAAACACTTTCTTCTGGTTTTCCAGTTCGGGGAATTCCGTATCATGTTAACTCTTGATGGTGTCAGTGCTGGGTCCTGCTGTGGAGTTCAAAGAGGCTGGATCCCCTCTCTGCCTGCCTCAGTGTATCCATAGGTGGCGCTTGTTGATTTTGGCTAAGCCAGTAAGTCACTCTTTCCTGATATTCTGAGACTTTAGTGGGAGATGTAAATATAGGAGGGCAGTAACAGGTCAGAATCGCTGCAGTGACTGTGGAGGCACATGCGCCAGACGATTTCTGCAGGATGCTGTTTGCTGTGGCTCCTGCCTGGCTAATCCTCTGGGGTTCTCTTAATGTGGCCGAGGCTATGCCCACGCCACATTCTTCTTTTATTCATTTTGGTAGATTTTAAGCAGGGCGAGTGACTGACACATTCAGACGCAAACTTCCATCCCTCTTTGTAGCTAGATATGGCTAACTGACTATGTTTCAGATAATGGGATGTGAGCAGTTCAAACACAGGTTTTCTTGCCCTGATGCTCTTTTCTGTCTCCATTTCTGCAGGTTTCAATGAGGCTGTTGTAGCAATGAAGCTCTGACCTTGCAAAAAAGGACAACGTTTTAGGAAACGGCAGAACAACAAAATGCAGGGAACTGGATCCCTGATCGACTCTGTGGAAAGAGTGGAACCACTTATACAGACTAGCATGACTGTCATGTGGGCAGGAAATAAAGTCCAGCATGCATAGTCTGTAATGCCAAGGCATCTCCTTATTATAGATGTGGAGTCTCTACTTTATATATTTAGAATCTTCCCAGTTTTTTTTTTTTTCTTCTTACACCAGCTCCTTCAGTCTCCTTCAGTTCTGTGTACTCCTGATTTGCTTCCAGTAAATTATATTTTGATTAAGATAGTGAAATTTGGGTTTTATTGCTTGTCACTAAGAATTCTGACTGATATGGTCTCCTTCATTATATTATTTAAAGTGCTTTTAGGTTGTCCTGAATCCACTGCTATAATAATCACATTTTTTTGTTTGTTTTTGCTGATTTATTTAGTGAGTGCCAGGCACTCATTTTTCTCTTAATGGACCCCTGTTTACTAAATATGAGTTTAGATGCAGACAGCTGTCATCACCATGCCTCATCATTCAAGAAAATTGTTAAAAGCTGGCATAGACCACTGACGGTATCTTGAGTCAAACATCTAGAACAGATCAGGAAGAAAATATGCTTAGTCTATCAGCTCTTCTGGGATCAGTCCCAAGACTCTAGTCTCTACTGCCTAGGATTGATTCACAGTTGATGTCTAAGGAATGTGTGTTGAATTATTTGTTGACTATGTCATTGCATTACCAGCAACAGGAAGGACTGAGTCCACTGAAATTCTAATTAGGCAATTTCTGAGAAATTAACTGAAAACCATATTTAAACATGTATAAGGACAAAAGCAGAACACAGTGCTCTTCTCTCTGTCCTATACTTTCCTCCTTTAGCAGAGCTCCTCTCTGGGCTGAACCTATTATACCACGGGCTTCTTTACAGGCATTCTTTGCCCCTCTCTACCCTAAGAGGCTGGCCTTAGGGCCAACATCAGTAGGATTCCTGGGTGCTCAGTTTTCTACTGAATTCCCATCCTTTGGAAGGGCAGCCTTCAGGGATGGAGAAGTTGGGGAAAATAGTGAGGTCAGAGTGTTGGGCTGGGTGGTTCCTTGACAGAAGAAAAAAAAATACTCCAATTAAGAATTCCAATTCTTTATAACCATCTCTCCCTCCAGAGCTGACAGACTGTTCCCTTAGCTCAGCTCTTAGGTCCTAGAAGTGGAAAAGCTCCGGTCCTGTCAGAGCCAGGGTAATGCACTGTCTCTTTGAAGCCTCTACAAGCCCACATATATGATAATCATTTCATAAACAAACCTTCCTCAAGGTGTGTCTTTTGTTTCCTGTTGAACCTCTGGCTGATATTCTTTATGTTCAGAATTTGGAACTAGAGAGTTGTATTAGCTAATGTATAAACTAATGAAAAAACTCAGTGTCCAGGGACTTAAAAATCTTGGATTGTATTTCTCCTTCGTAAGAAGAAATTCTCTGGCAGAGAGAAGTCCGCTGTGTAGATGGAGGCTAGTTAGCTGCCCTGGTCCATGGTCTCCAGCCAGCGTCTCAGAGGAAAACACCCAGAGGAGTCCACTCCCTGTCTTTTATTTATTTATTCATTTGGCTGCGTCTGGTCTTAAACCTCTGCTGCGTCATGCGGGATCTTTCACTGTGGCATGTGAATTCTCTAGTTGTGGCATTTGGACTCAGTAGGGGAAGTGTATGGGCTTAGTTGCTCCTAGACAGGTGGTAGCTTAGTTCTCTGACCAGGGATTGAACTCACATGCCCTGCATTGCAAGGCAGATTCTTAATCACTGGACCACCAGGGAAGTCTCATGCCTTAGCCTTTTAAGAGCAAGCTTCCAGAATGAAGCACATTACTTCTCACATTGCATAGGCATTACCTCTCACGGCTGGGTTAGGCGACAGAAATGCTGGGAAGTTTAATTTTTCTTTGGGCAGTAATGTCCTCCACTGTCTTTCTATTACTACGGAAGTAGAGAAAAGTTGTCATTGGTAGGTGACTAATTTAAAGCCAGAGGTTCATTTTAGTTCAAGAGGAGCCAGCCAGACACTGAGTATCCCCAAGGATACAACATTGTAAAGTGTTTCCTCCTGTCGATGAATTGATGGCTTACTGAGAGAAACAGGAGCTAAGACAGATAGTTTCAACACAACACACAGGATGTAGGAAATGCCCAGAAAAAGTGCTGCAGGAGCAGGAGGGGCGGTTAGTCCTGGTTTGTAGCTGCACACGGGCATGAGGGAGGACGGAGCTGAGCTGTGGCTTGACATGAGGGCTTCCCTCGTGGCTCAGATGGTAAAGAATCTGTCTGCAATGCCAGAAACTCAGGTTTGATCCCTGGCTCAGGAAGACCTCCTGGAGGAGAGCATGGCAACCCGCTCCAGTATTCTTGCCTGGAGAATTCCATGGCCAGAGGAGCCTGGTGGGCTACAGTCCAGGGCGTCGCAAAGAATCAGACATAACTGAGTGACTTTCACTTTTCACTTTGAGATTGTAAGCACAAACTGTTGCCCTGTCACCAAGCTACCCACCTGTACAAAGTCACCCATCTTCACATGGAGGTGAGCCCATGACAATATAAAGTTCTGCCAAGCTCCTATTCCCTGATGGAATCTGGCCTAAGTGGATATTAATGCTTGAGGTTGCTATAATCTCTTGCCTACGGCACAAGAAAAACTGACTCACTTAATCTTGAGTTTACTGATTGACCCTGAGGTCATTGCCAGAGGCAGAAGAATCCAGAAATGACCTGGAGCAGACAGAGAATGATCTCTGCCAGGTTTGGTATCCTCTGAGCTGCTGCAAGAGAACAATAAAATGTAGAGACAACTCAACTTTCCACAGCCTCCCTGTGAGAAGTAAACGGGTTCTTGGACCAACCTGCACAGCAGACTGCAGGGAGCTGCTGTTGGTTCTCACTCTCCCCGAGGCTTTGATAAGCTGTGCCTTCTAATTTTAGAACATCTGAGACCCAATGTGACCATATATCTTAGGAAGGAATGGTGACCTGATGTACCTTCTTTCAAATACACATACTGAATATTTGCTATACGCCATGCACCGTGCTAGAAGCCGAGGAGCTCCTAATCCCTTATATCCTACAGTAAATCTACAGTCATAGAAAGAAAACCACCCATATGTCTTCTTAGAGTCTGTAGAACCAACTCCAAGATACTCTGCTTGTAACATGAGGAACCATTGACGGTGGACTTTTAGTCCGGGCTGTGGTGAACCTGCAGCTCAGTCTCCTGCAGACCATGGCAGAAGGGGAGGGCAAGACTAAGTCAGCATGACTCCAGATCACCCCCGAGCCCGTTCTGCCAAGGTGCTCTGTTTTTACTGGAATTATGTTTGGATTTGTTATCCTCCAGTCGCTCAGTCATGTCTGATTCTTTGTGACCCCATGGAACGCAGCATGCCAGGCCTCCCTGTCCATCACCAACTCCCGGAGCTTGCTCAAACTCATGTCCACTGAGTTGGTGATGCCATCTCATCCTCTGTCATCCCCTTCTCCTCCTGCCCTCAATCTTTCCCAGCATCATGGTCTTTTCAAGTGAGTCAGTTCTTCACATCAGGTGGCTGAAATATTGGAGTTTCAGCTTCAACATCAGTCCTTTCAATGGATATTCAGGGTTAATATCCTTTAGAATTGACCAGTTGGATCTCCTTGCAGTCCAAGGGACTCTCAAAAGTCTTCTCCAACACTACAGTTCAAAAACATCAATTCTTTGGCAACCTGCCTTCTCTATGGTCCAACTCTCATAGCCATACATGACTATTGGAAAAGTCATAACTTTGACTATGTGTTAGAATTCCATATCAGATTTCTTAAATGAAAGAAAACAGCGGAAATGGGCACGGGGATGACACAGAATCTGTGCAAGTCACTAACTATTTATAGCTACATTTGGATGCTGCTGAGTCATTGCAAGGATCGGGGCGACACAAATTAAATTCCTGGATTCCTTTGCCACCTGGCCTAAGGCTGGCCCTGCCAGGGAGGGAGCCTGGCAGACAGGGGAGAGGAGCCCCTCTTTCCTTTCTGGGTCTTTCTCGGTCTCCAGCTGTGGAGGTTGTGACGGCAGCCACAGAAAGGGTGACAGCATTGGCACTAGCAGGGCTGGGATTGCAGAGGCTCCTGGCATCTCGCTTAAGCGCTGATGTCCTTCTGTGAAAGCCTCTGGTGGAAACTGACTCTGGGCCCTTATTAGTAGGTCTTCCCTTTTTGCTCCTCCAGCCCATAGATGTAACCCATACCTGTATTTCTTCCTCTCTGTTTGAAATACCTGCAAACATTTCTGCTTTCTATTTGGATTCTGAGAGATCCAAATGGAGTACGGATGGGTATTGGTTGCTGAAACAAATGCAAATGAAACGAGGAATTGAAAACAACTACTGCAAAATAGTGGTTATTAACTGGGCTTTTAAATCTGTTATAAAAAATGGGTAAAGATAAAGGCTGGTGCCTTGGGCACTGGGGATGATAGAAAGGCTTTTTCTGAAGTGACTGCCCCTCTTGTGACCATTCATAAGCCCTGAGAGGGACTCAGGTGGTTAGATGTACAAGTGTCCATGTCTATACTGGTCAGAGAGAGAGAGAATTTCTCCAGTACAATTGCTGATCTAGACACCATTCACATATAAGGACAGTTTCAGAAATAGATTTCCCTGACTGGTCATTGGATTGTTTATGTGAGGACGAGGAAAAGGGTGGGGAAATGTTCCTTGTGCCCAGAAAACTGTGGTGGCTTGCTTCCCTTTGGAATAAAGGTGTTTGCCCACACAGGGACTTAGAACTCGGCTCACCCAAAGTGGATCCCTTTTCCCATCACCCCCACAACAGAATCCTGTTGAAGGAACAACCACCTACAGGCTATTCTCTTGCTCCACACAATGTTCAGAAGGTCATGGGTCTGTTTATACAAATTAAAGGATTAGGGAGGTGTCCCTTGGAAATAAAACTGAATGGGATTAGAATAGGTCAAATAAACAAAAAGCCAAGAAGAGGTCAAATTTCTGCTAAAGAGAGAGAAACGGTGTGCATTTGGACCATTTAAAGACTGACACTAGAAGCTGAGGTGCTTGAAGTGCGATTGATCATAAAATGATGGAGTGGAGAGGGAAGGACCAGAACCAAAAGGAGAAAATAACTATGAAAGCGGAGTCAAACCAACACGAAGGGTCAGCAAATGAGTCCTAACGGACTCAGAAATGAAGGCTAACGGGAGCTCAGCCTCTCTGAAGCCATCTGAAGGGTATATTAATTTAAAACTGAGATGAAAAA